GCAGGGGTGTCAGCACGATTCTTACAGATAGACTCCTCCTGGTCAGTGTCTGGTCTAACTAAATTTACCTCTCAATTATTAATATAAAATCTTTGAAAGTGCTTTTGTTTATGTAAATAGGGGCTAGGGAAATTTTTGAGAGAAATAATGAAACCAATTATTTTATATTATCCATTTCACTGCCCATGAACACAGAGACCTACAGCCATGTACAAAGCAACTCCCCTGGTGTGCTCCAGGCTGTCTCTTTTCTATATAGACCCAAGTGGACAATCTCAGAACAAGTAGTTGAAAATTGAATGCTTGCCATGTTTTCTTAATCAGCTGTGTTCACTATTTTACAGTGAACATTCACATTTCTGAAGCATATTTTGTTTTAGTTGAAACCCTGGTCAAGGTCACCATGAAATAAAGAGATTTTTGTTTGCAAATGTAAGAAGGTCTGTTGTGTGAGTTGATTCCTAATTGACCATTGAAATTGGGTAAAAATTATGGGATTTTGTTTGTTGATCAGGATGTAAATGGCTGAGGTCCAATTTTCTTTCAAATTTATTATGGGCATCATATTTAATATGAAATATGTTCAATCTCAAGCATTATGTATAGAGGAAGCTTACTGTTACATGTAAAATTTAAGTAGTATTAAGGAAATACTGGTATTACATGAATGAACACCAACAACCAAAAGATTTTGAAAAGATACCTAAGACTTGTCTCTTCTTTACCCTGAAATATTTTCTCTTGTGAAAATCCAGGACCTCCTGTGTATTACTGCCAAAGCCTAAACTCACAGATTCACACTAATTATAGCAATATGATGGGCCAGCTGCTCCACAGAAGTCCTACCTGGAGATCCTATTCAGTGTGTAGTTTCTGTTATTTGAATAGTTATTTCAAAGTGAGTACAGAAAAGTCTGATCTCTGCTATGAGCCAGTTGTGCTGCATCTCACAACTGTACTAAAAATACAGATTAAGTAAAAAATTTTAAACTATCTTTATTGCCTAACTCATTAAGCATATTGTTCCAAGAATGATTTTCAGTACAAGGAAAGGAGTTAGATAATAGAACTCTGATTACCAGATTTGTACAGTAGATATTACATCCTAGAAAAGGCTATGGCTTTGGAGAAATGCAAAGGAGATTTGTTTTTAACTGCTGGCTCCAACATTTATTAACTGTGTGACTTTGAGCTCCTAACCTCATGGAGTCTCTTTATTAAAAAAGGTTAGGTAATATTATCTACTTTACAGGTCTTTCATGAGAAATACAGAAAAACACACTATAAGAACATAAACTTATAGAAGGAAATCAATAAATTGTAGCAATATATCAAAATTCACATGAATATTATACAATGGACCCTCAAGTTATGGCTGGCCTGACATAAGAACAACTTGGGTTACAACAGGAATTTTAGTTTTAACTTACAAAGTCACGAGGTAAGACCTGAATGCTGGCTACTTGTGCTTCCCGATGGTTCAGATACAGATTTTTTTCTTCTTTTTTTTGGTACTGGGGATCCAACTCAGGACCTTGTGCTTGTGAAGCAGGCAGTGGAACCCCTGGCCCTTACAGATACAGACAACCCTTAACAAGCTCTGGAAGGAACATTACAACATCCTCTTTTGTGTGGGGCTAATTGAGAAATCCTGGGCCAATGTCTCTCTAAGGACACTGAAATCTGCCTGTATACAAGCAGAGAAAATTTGAAAGCTGGCTAGAGGAGTCTGAAACTTCAATTGACCAACTTGGGTTATACTCAGTCCTTATGAATGAAATGAGTTTGTAAGTCAAGAGTCCATTGGAATTATAAAATGCCATATTAAACTTTTAAAGGCTGTTAATCTGTGGAATCAATGCATGAAAGTTCAAATACAGATGTCAGTGAATTAACATTACTTGTTCTGTTCAATACTATGGGCAAGGCACTATGTGAGGTATACAAGACAAATCTCAGTCATAAACTAATAAGTTATCTGATCATATAAAGCTTACAGACTCATGGAATATAAAAAGGTAAATGGACAATGGTATGGGGTGCAAAACAGGAAATGAATAATACCTGCAGCAATGTAGTTGAAATTTTGCCGATTGGGGTAGGAAACCATGAAAGGAGAAGCCAGTTAACTCTAGAAAAAGCATAATAGAAGGGCCATTGATGTGCAGAGCAGTGAATAGAATAAGGAGAATAAAAATTGAATTTAAATATCAAAATGAAGCAGTTCTAGGAATTGATTAAATCAAAAGCAGTCACAGGGAGAGAATCTGAGACAGGATGAAGCCAAAACCACTGAACAGATGACTTGATCATCTCCCAGGATGCTGGTGCAGGTGAGAAAGGTGCCTGGACTTTATTCCAGAGAATGAGGGGAAAACAGCAGCTGCCTGAGTATAGAGATTAGAGGGCTTTTTCTTTTCTGAAAGGAATAAGCAAAGGCCTGGATTTTCATTTTGAAGTATACATAAACATATATGCACACATGCATCTGTTTAAACTTATGAATGAATGATAATACAGAATAATGTAATAAGGACAAGGCTTTAACATTTCTAAGGGTCTTTTTGGGGGGGGTATTTATTTATTTTGTTATTAGGATTAAGCCCAAGGCCTTCAACTTGAGTTACTTTTTAAATTTTTTACTTTGATACATGGTCTTGCTAAGTCACTAGGTTGGTCAGGTTTGACTCAAAATTATGAACCTGCCGTAGGGGAAGCAGGAGAGACCAAGATATAATCCCCAAGTTTATAAGGCCATGATTTACTCCTTTCAAGAAGGCCATACCTCCTAATAGTACATACAACAATAATGATAGTTCTCAAAACCTCATCAGCTGACCTTTGGGAAACATTTAGATCTGAAACATAACACACTGTAAATCCTCATTCTTCTAAATCTAAAATGGGGCCACTAATAGTATTTAGTGTGTTGGTACAAAATAAGGTAATATGTGAAAAGAATTTATCTTGAAGTTTAATAATAACTTATTATTGCTCTTTACATTTAAAATACACCAAGAATTTAGTACAAATATGTTAACTCTACTGTCTGAAGCAATCAGGACTGTAGTATATAGATTAAGAATAGGAGATGTGCTAGTTCCCGTGCTACTGAGGATTTGTTCATAAAGTCTTTTCCTATGCCAATGTCTTCCAGAGTTCTGCCTAACTTACCTTCCAGCATGTTTAGTGTTTCTGCGTTAATATTTAGACCGTTAATCCATGTGGATTTTAATTTAATGCATGGTGAAAGATAAGGGTCCAGTTTTAATCTGTGGCAGGTTGAAATCCAGTTTTTCCAACACCATTTATTAAAGGGGCTATCTTTCCTCCACTGAGGATGGTCAGCTCCTTTGTCAGAGATGAGGTAGCTGAGTACATCTGGATTTGTTTTTGTGTCTTCCAATCTGTTCAACTGATCCTCAGGCCTGTTTCTTTGTCAGTACCATGCTGTTTTTATCATAGTGGCTTTGTAGCATTGTTTCAAATTGGGAACTGTTATACCCGTGACTCAGGAAAGCATGCTTATTAGGCAGAAGCACTGGCCAATGGCAACTCTAAAGAGTCTACTCTGACTGCTCAGGACAAACTTGGGCAGCATTCACCTATGAGGTTTCCCTATATACTAAGTGGATTTCCCCATATTCTGTATCTGAAATGTTGTAACATAAGGAACTATTGAGTCACATTCTTAGTAAATCTGCAACTTTCTCAGACCCAAGAAAATGGATCCATGATTTATATTTTTTAGGTACACCTTTGAGATGTTTTACAACACTCCATTATTTCCACTCTGAAGAATATTATCTCAAAGCTCTACCCACAATGGGGGTTTCCCTCTGATACCTAGGACATTTATCTACCCCAGAACACCTGACTAGTCCAGCACTTTGTCTTTTCATATCTCGTGCTTGCACAGTTATGCTAACCAAACACCCTATTTACCCCTACTCACCTATCCACATCACATCCTATTCAGATCCTACCGAACTACTATATTGAAGCTATGCACTGACTGCCTGTGTGTTTCATACCAGGGGTTGGAAAACTTTTTCTCTAAAGAACCAGAGAATAAACATTTGCAGCTTTATAGTCCATTTGCTCGGTATCCCAAATGCTCAACTCTGCCCTTATGATAGAAACCCAGCCATGAGAGCAGGCACAGAAAAGGAAAGAATTGAAATCTCATATAATATCCATGAGTCGTGCCATATTACACCCTTTTTGAAGTTTCAAAGCCATTTAAAAACATAGAAACTCTCTTGGATCTAAAACTAGCAGCAGGCCATAGTGGACTTTTGGTTTGCTTTCTATGCAGACTATTTCTGCTTTATGTTTTGTTTTTTTAATTGGGATATAACTTTCATTAAGTAACCTTCAGTATGCCATTCTTAAACGATCAGTCCAACAGATTTTGGAGTAACATTACATAGGTCCAGATGTAAAACACGTCCAGTAGCCTAAGGGGCTCCTTCATAGTCTCTTCCAAAAGAACCCCCAACCAAAGCTTAGTGCCTTTTTCTTATAAAAGTAATCTCAAAAAAAAAAAGTCAAGGCATAATGGTACACACCTGTAATCTGAGCACTCAGAAGGCTGAGGCAGGAGGATTGCTATGAGTTCCAGACCAGCCTGGGCTCATAGTGAGTTCCAGGTCAGTCTCAACTACCTAATGAGACCCTGTCTCAAAAAACAAAATAATAATACTAATAATACTAATACTAATACTACTAATAATAATCTCTATACTTTCTTTCAATAGGCCTGTGTCATGGAAGTGGTGGCATGACTCAACTATATAAACTTTTACAGGTAGAAAAAAAATCAGAAGGCAAAGGTGCATTCTTAAATGAAACTTCAAGTATCATTAGCCATTGCAACCACATGTAAGAATGTCTTGTATTTTCAACAAAGTGATATAGATCAGAAATCCCAAAAGGCAGTTCTGCTTATTTACACTTATTTTGCTCAGCTGTGACACACTGATCCTGGGCATCCTTACCTGGGCCAAGGTGAGGGTGGTTTGTTTGCAGGTGGCACACTGTACCCGGAGCTTTCCTGGCTGTACCCTTTGACAAGGGACTTTGCAGTAAACATAGAAGCTGTTGTAGGTTGCTGCACCTGTGGGGAAGAGAGCAGAGTGAAAGCAGTCAAATCAGTGTTGGATCCAAATTGAGACAAGAAACTCTCTTTAATAGCTTTTTAGATGAGAATTTTAAAAAGCAAATCCTCAAAAACATTTTGAAACATTAGTGGAATATTCCAAAGAGTACACAACAATTTAATTTAGAAAGTGTAGTTTCTGTTTAAAAGAGTGAAAATCTTTTCATTTCCTTGCCAACAGCCCTGTGACTTACTCAGCAAAATAAGCAACCTGCCACTAAGAGAGCTGGCCAAGAGCATTTGCAACACAGTGGATTTCAGCACTCTCTGCCATAGAAGTTTTGAAAAAGGACAGAAAATTTAGAAACTACAGGAAATTTAGAGATTACTGCTCTTAAATTCTATTTCATGCTTCTGTACACAGTTTTGAAGACTTCAGATATTTCTTCTTAAAAATCTTATGTGTAGATACAAACCAGCCCATTTCTCATGATATGAATGATTTAGTCATTTTGCTGAGTTTCCAGGAAGAAGCTTTGCAAAGATATAGTCACACATAGAATAAAACAAGAGCCCTGAACTCAGAGGACCTTAACTGATATATCTGCCCATGTGCAGAAATGGATGCTTCTTATTTCTGTAATAATCTTACACAAACAAATGCCATTCAAATAATACATATTCAAGAATAAAAGGTGAACAAAAAACAATTTAGTGGTTAAACATTTCTGGGGCCAGGGATTTAGCTCAGTGGTTCCACTACCTGCTTCGCAAGTGCAAGGTCCTGAGTTTGATCCCCTTTACCAAAATAAATAAATAAATAAACACTTCTGATTATTTCTCTGAGACATAACAAATCAGATACAGTGCTATCATCTAAGCTAGGGAGATATTTTGGCTTGTTATATTCTTTCACATCCAAAAAGAACTAATTTATCTGAGTGTGGTCTCTCATGCCTGTAATCCCAGCATTTGGGAGTCTGAGATAGGAGGATCCCTGTGAGTTCGAGACCAGCCTGGACTACACAGTGAGTTCCAGGTCAGTCTCAACTACATAGTGAGACCCTGTCTCAAAAAAACAAAAATAAAAACAATAGAAAGTACCAACTTTATTCAGAAGCATCTACTAGTAAAGTAACTAATTTTTACAATCTCTAAATTTCTAAATAACAGTTTTTTCCTTTAATCATTAGCATTGCTGGGTAGGTCATAATAGAAAGTATCATGGTACAAAAATGTATTTAAATTTTTACTGGTATCAGGAAAAGCATCTAGAAATAAGTATTTCTATGAATGAAAACGTTTAGCCTTAAAAATGCTTACTTATATTGTACTACAAACAATTTGAACAAACATAATGGGCAATAAACCAAAGACTAAAGTCTTATGACATCTTATTTGTTTCATTAATTTACAGGAGGAGCCTCTGTTGACAATTTGGACAATAATTTCTTAGCTATCTTTATTAATATCATAAGTGACAGATTTTGGTAAAATGCAAAAAACATAAAAGCATCGAGTTTCATAATTTTCTGAATTACTTGCAATATATCATATCATTGTCACTCTCCACAGATGAGTTATTATTATTATTATTATTTATTTTTTTGGAACCGGGATTAAACTTTGGTCCTTGCACTTGTGAGGCAGGCAGCAGAACCACTAGGCTAAGTCCCCAGCCCACCACAGATGAATTATTTATCTTCTAGTGTAAAGGGGAGGCAAAATATAAATTCATGTTTGTACAGATGTTAAATTACTTTTGTTTGATGCTTCTTTGTAGCTTTAGTGCTTATGGGCAAGATACTCAAGTCTATGAATTCTGCACTGTGATCAGTAGATATAATGATTACATAAAATGTATTTTAAGGTTCATATGTATCATAAAATCTACAGTACCATGTATTAATATTATAGAAATATTTATAGCATAATAAATGAATGAATATCAAAAGAAAACAAGAATTGCTACAGTTTTAATGTAATAAAAACTTTGCAAAGGCAGGTAGGAGCCTTCACTTAAAATCTTTAATGGTAATATGAACCAATTCAATTTCACAATTTTTATAACCTACAGTAAAGGTTAAACATTTTAAAATAAGGAAAAGAAGAAACAAGAGAAGCAAAAATGTTGCAAAGGATGCAAGACATTAACACTGGAAAGAGCAGATTAGCAACAGTTTGCAATATTACAAGAAGCATGGCAGAAATTGCAGGGAACTAAATGACTCTTCTCTTTCCCTTAGGGCAATAGCAGTGCTGATGATATTGTTTCAGCTAATAATATATTAAAGCTGAATATGAAGGCAGGGCCACCCTTCCCCCTTTACATGCTTCAACCTTCGCTGAAGTCCTTGGGAAGTTATTCAGGAAATGCCGCATGCCAATATCTGTGCCCTAGAAGCACATGAGATGATGTGCAATCCATTATACATTGCTTCCCAGAGCCAGCCACAAGTTCGGGATTAATAGCCAAGCTGAGGAAGATCAAGGTCAGGCCAGGCCTGGCTGCAGCGCATTTCAGGCTGTTAGCTCCACTCAGCCAAGTGACTAGGGCTTCAGGTAAATCATGAGGGCCTCTTTTCAGAGTGGCTCCCCTACTTATTTGTCTGCATAACACAATTTAAAGTTGGCAGGCTTCTCTGTGTTGTGATGTGGCCTACAGTACACTGGACAGGAGTAAAAACAAATAACTTCCTGACAATTTTCTGGGCAATGTTCCCATTTGCCTGGCTGAAAGGCCTTCGAACTCTTGCATGTGGAACCATAACTCCCAAAGGGATGGCAAGGCAATTCTGTGAACAACTTCAGAAGCCTTTCTCTAGGTACATAGCTCTCTATATTCAATAAAATGAATCTTTCCCTTTCACTTCTTTTTTGACCTTAAGATCCTTTATCTCTCATCATATACTCTTCATGTGACTGCATCTCTCACTTGCGTAAAATAAAGCAGGTATGCTTGCCTTTACAAGACTACCTTCATTTTATCTAATAAGTTTAAACCTAGAGATCCAATGCTTTTCAATTAGCATCTTTGAACACTGGTACATTTGAGTGTACTCTGTGTGTGTATGTGCTCACACCTATAGATATATCTACATATATTACATATAGACACTTTTTGGCTGAAGCATTTGTAATCAAGTGCTATATATTTTGATTTTTCATCCCTCCCTACTTCAACATCCTAAAACAGAAGCTTTTATTTTCACATAAAATCTGAGAAGCTGGGCTGGGGATTTAGCTCGGTGGTGCCATCACCTACCTTGCAAGTGCAAGACCTGAGATGGAACCCCTGAACCAGAAAAAAAAAACAAAAACAAAAACAAAAGAAAACAAAACAAACAAAACAAAAAAAACTGAGAGGCTTTCGGTAAATAAATATATGAAAAAATATTCAGCATCACTGGTCATCTGAGATACGCAAATTAAAATGCTGACATTTTATTTCACTCCAGAAAGAATGGTAGCTATTAAGAAATCACTCAATAACAAATGCTGGAGGAGCTGTGGGCAAAAAGGAACCCTTCACTGCTGGTGGGAGTATAGACAAGAGCAACCACTGGAAATCAGTGTGGTGTGTTCTCAAAAAACTAAAACTACAGGTTCTATATGATCCAGCTATACCTCTTCCTGGTATCTTTTCAAAAAAATTAAAAGAATCATACCACAATGATATATGCACGCCCATGTTTATAGCAGCACAGGTTATAATAGCTAAATCTTAGAAACAGCCCAAATGTCCATCAACTGGTGAGTGGATAAAGATGTGGTTTCTTTATACAATGGAATACTAGTCTGCCATAAAGAAGGATGAGCTTCAGACATTTATAGATGGATCTTGAGATCATACTCTTAAGTGAAATAAATTGGACACCTGTTTAAATGCCACATTGTTTCTTTGGTGTGAGAAATTGAATGTTGAAATAAGGACTGTGATGTATAATATATAATGGATGTTGGGGAATGGGAAGAAAGTGTTCAAAATGGGAAGATGAACAAGGGAGGAGGAAGGGAGAAAGGAAGGAAGGGACAAGAAAAAAACAGAGAAGCAAAGCTTTTGTACATGGGGGGGACTTTAAAGGAGGAAATTGGATAAAATTTGTAAAATTCAGAGAGGTTTTTAAGTGACTTGGTTTGTTCACTAGGTCTATACATATAATAATCAAACATATTTCAAGTATACTTTATAGAATACCACATGAGTTAGCAAGCTATTCAGCGATAGTGTTGGAATGCCCTTGGTTAAAGCAAGTTAGGCAGTGTCTGGTGAAGCTGGGATAAATAAATCCCTGAATATGGCATTCCACAGGGCTCTGTGCTCTACAGGAAAGTCAGGATGGACACATCACAGGCCAGATATTCTTGAGAAACTGCACTTCTCAAAAAGAAAGAAAGAAAGAAAGAAAGAAAGGAAGGAAGAAAGAGCAAAAGGAAAATTAGAATAATTTAACCTATTGTATAATATTTGATATGCAGCAAACTAAACAGGTAAAGTTTAAATCAGCTTTCTCAAATGCCTCTAAAGTAACTGGTGATATAAAGTCTTCCCTTCATGGCAAACCATGAACAGGCTTATATAATTATTTTATCAATAATTAGTCCACTTATATAATGATAAGTATATTGCTTTCAATCAGAAGTACTTTTTTCTTGCAGGACAGTAAAAGCTCAGGGAGCTCAGAACCCTTGGAAAGGACTGGCTAGTGTGCACATTTTAAAGGTCCACAGGTTTCTGCTATAATACATTATATCTTGTACTTCAGTTTTCTCTCTCATGTTGCCTTATTAATGTTAACTGTTAGACAAGTCTCCACGTCTTTTCTCTTGGCAAAAAAACAAAACAAAACAAAAATGCTGAAATCATTAAAAATATGCACCACATAATAGGCAAAACATATTTTAAAAGCATGAGTTTTCCAAAATGTACAAATATGTGATCTTTGACAAAGGGGCAAAAGCATATACTGAAGAAAATATAGCCTGCTTAATAACCGATGCTGTGGAAACTGCCTATC